CTGATGTGCTGGCGTCAGACCCCTCTGTGGACCAGGCCGATGTACTGTCATCAGACCCCTCTGTGGGTCACACTGATGTGCTGACGTCGGACCCCTTTCTGGACCAGGCTGATGTACTGGCATCGGACCCCTCTGTGGACCACACTTATGTGCTGGTGTCAGACCCTCTGTGGACCAGGCCGATTTACTGGTGTCGGACCCCTCTGTGGACCAGGCTGATGTGCTGGTGTCAGACCCCCCCTCTGTGGACTGGGCTGATGTGCTGGTGTCAGGCCCCTCTGTGGACTGGGCTGATGTGCTGGCGTCAGATTTCCCTCTGTGTACCAGACTCATGTGCTTATTTATCCTGTGTTGGGGATAGGTAGGTGGGCAAACTGTGCATTATGCTGCTGTCGCCTTCAACAACTGAACTTTCCCTTCCTATACAGAATCAACTCGAGTTGATTTCTTAACTTCATAAGAAATGTTGGGTAAATAACACTTGGTTCAGCCCTGCTCTTTCCCTCTCCCTCCTTCTTGTCCATCTCCACTATTAAAATAGTTTGAAATGATTTTTTATCCATCAGCCATTCCCATCTCTTATCTCTGTTTCTCTCATCCCTTTGAAGCCCTATCGGCACGGATGTTTCTTTACTCTCCAAACTGCCCAGTGGCACAAACTCTTCCCCAGAAAAGCACACACACCACACTCATCCTCCCCTAGGCCTGTTTGCAGCCAATCTTTTCGCTGACGTAAAGAAACCATTCCAGTGGTATTCGTTGTTTTTATTTGGAAGCATTGTATTTTCAGGCGACTCATAAAAAACAGACCCAATAAAATATATTTGTGATGTTCATCTGAACCTGGGGTTGAAAAATCTTAAAACTTGTTTTAAAAAAAAAAAAGGTTTCAGTGCTACAGTAGGCAGACCATCTGTTTGCATATGAGAGAGAAATGTGCAGGCCTGGAGCATGAAGGTCGGCGATCAGCACAATAAGAGCCGCACACAAGTGAGAACGGCAGCTGGGTGTGTTGTCCATCTCGTGGCTGTGATGAGGTGGCTGACGGAGGTAAACTGTAGATCACACAGCTGATGCCCAGTAAGGAGCTGCTGCTGGAGGGTGAGCTCACGTGTAGATTAAAAATGCTTGCACATGCCTCTCATGCTGTCGTCCTGAGCGCCAGCAGCTATGTTGATTCCTGATGGGCTGCTGGAGGGAGTGATTTTGTTTGGGGGGGGGGTACTCTCTGGACACACTGACTCCCCCAGGACCAGTAGGACACCCTGCAGACACACTGACCCCCCCAGGATCAGGACCGGACACCCTTGAGTTAGGTTCTCCCTGACCAACCTCCTGTTCTCCTGGGGAGTTGGAACAAATTCACATCTCGCTCTACCGAGCTATTGGTGGTGGTGAAGGGGATCCCCATTACCTGTAAAGCGCTTTGAGTGGAGTGTCCAGAAAAGCGCTATACAAGTGTAAGCAGTTATTATTATTATTATTATTATTACCGTCAGAGGGGGTCTGTCAGAGGGGGGTCTGACGCGAGTGGTGGTTTCTTACACTTCATCATGGGCTGTTGGGTTGCAATTGATGAGAGCACGAATGTCTTACAAGGGTTTTAACTTTTTATTGTTCATTTCTTGGTACATATTTATTTATAAAAGCATTTTATTTTTCTACGGGGTACGGGTACGAGGGGTGGTGTAAGGAAGGAATCAACTAGCCAAATACAAACTGAGTACAATATCTCTTTCCTGCGAATTTCCCGAAATACAACTCCAAAGTATTAACGCTTCCAAACTGCGTCAGACAGTGCCAGCCAGCTGCAGCGGCGAGTGCAGACGCTAGGTGGCACTGTTTCACAGCCAATGCACGTGGAGAGATTCTCAAAACGTTACAAGTGTGCTCGGACCCTGACGTGTTTACTAATGGTCACAGCTATCGCAAAAGCTTTTAAAACAGATTTAAAAAGGAAAAGCAGCAATGTCAGCAGTTTCACCAAGAACCTAAGCAGCAAGTAAACATCTTTTAAAGCAAGGCTAGAAGAGGATCTTTAAAAAAAACAACTGTTGAAAAGATGTTAAAGAAAACAAACAAGAAGATATAAATATATAATAGTACTAGTAACTGTCATAGTATAATACTCTCAGTACCTGCAATAATTACGGACAGCAAACACAAGCATGTAAACGTGTATTTCTGTTCTGCTTTGCAAAAACCTACCAAAGAAACTGTAAAAAATAAAAAAAAGCAGAAACAAATGGAAATTCTCCAAAGCGACCCCCAAATAAAGAGGGGTGCTCTTGGGGTACAGGTCTGAAATAGGGAAACTGGAAACTCTGTTCCAGTGTATAGCGACCCCCCCCTCAGGTCTCACCCCCTTTTAGGGAAACATGGCCACAGGCTGTTGGGGAGACTCGTTTCCATGCAGATACCAGGTATCGGCTCCGATCACCTTAATAAGCCCAGCTGCCCCCCCACGTGCACACTGTACCATGTCGCGTGGGTTAATTAGATGGTGCTTAATTAGATGATCGACGAGTTAGCACCTGAAGCAGTGATTAAGGCCATGCAGGGCACATGGATTCTAGGATTTGGGGGTCTGGGTGGCGACTCAGATGGGGAGCACGTTCCCCTGGGCCTGTCTGGGCCTCTGCCCTTCACGATCGCCGAGCCCCAGCAGGCAGGAGGGGGTCAGCCAACCTACTGTTAATAGGTGAAGGAGGTCCCTGGTTGGAATCCTGTACACCAACCCAAGCACAGGACACATCAGCAGTGTCTGCGACACAGGTGGAGGAAGAGGAGGGGAGGGGGGTAGAGGGGATGAAGGGCAGGGCAGGGAGAGGAGTGGGAGGGTCGAGTCGCAGGTGTGAAACTCACCCTGTTCAAAAATCAACACAACGTACTCAAACGTACACAGAACACCTGATTAGGAACTACGTCACTCCAGAAATGACGTCAGGATTCACTCCTGCTTTAAAAAAACGTTCAGGAACCTGAGCCAAGGGGACAAACAAGAAGTGGAAAGGAAAAACAACCCTCCGAAACAACCCCCCAAAAAAAACACACGACCCCCTCTCCTTCTCCTGTTCCCCAGATCCCTACTGAAACTCCGAAGCGTGAAACCACTGCACCATCAAGCACCCACTCCGCAACACACACACACACACAAGGCCGACAGCAACAGAGGAGCCTACTTCTTCTGTGGCCCCGAAAAGCCAGATCTACTTTTCCAGCCAACCTGTTGCTACGGGAAACACAAAGGCAAATCAATCCGCCTGCTCACACGCTATAAAGACTTAACTTGAACTTCGTGTCCCCTGGGGCAAAAGGAAAAATAAAACAATAGCACAAATATGAGGGACATTTTAAGAAAAGGAACAGCACCCACAATTCTGCCCAGCCGCCAAGAGGGGTATTTGGAAATCCATTTCAGTATCAGGACATAGGACAGCCTCAGTTAAAAGACCGTTTGGGCTTTTCTGGTTTTTCCGTGGCTTCTGTTACCGCGGGAAGGGGATTTGCTCTCACCTGAGGCAATGCCGAGTGAGAAACTCGGCTCAAGCCGAGTGAATCCTTCAAGCTTGAAAGGTGCTCACAGTGAAAAGGCGCAATATAGAAAATTGGTTAATTAGCGTCTACAACGAAGAGAAAAAGTCGGTCGTGCGTCATTTCATTTTTAAAAAAAGCTTCAAAACTGCAGTTCAGCGCAATCACGGAGAGGCGTGTTTCGTTTTTTCTGCTTTAAAACAAAGCGTGCTGACACGGCACGGGAGAGACCGGCGAGAGCGAAGCGCCAGGAGAAAAACGCACCACAAAACAAGAAAAGGAAACGCTCATGGCAGCGTCCATCCCTCGTCGTGCCACTGCATCGGAAGACCAGTTTCGGAAAACCACAATGACACCCGAATGAGGGGGAGGGACGCCCGCGGGGTCCTCGGCGCTGGGGATCTCGGGACCGGGACGCGCGCCCCCGGCCGGAGGAGGGGGGCGCGATGGCGCGCGTCCGCGACGGCTCCTCTTCTTCCTCGCGGCCGCTCCTGCCCTCCAGGCCAGGACGAGACCAGGGGTGGGGTGGGGGTTGGTTCCACGGTCAGTCCAGGCTCTCGAGCGCCGAGGCCAGGGAGGCGGCAGTGCGGCTGGGGGCTTGTCTGGCGAGTGTGTGCGGGGAAGGTTAAAGGTCAGGGGTGAGCGAGAGGTCATTGTGCGAATGTGTGTTTGTTGGGATGAGGAGGGGAGGAGAAAGGGGAAGGGGGTCAGTGCGCCGCCTGTCCTTGTCTTTATAGCGCCTGTGTCTTCAGCTCTATGGGCTCTGTGCGCGAGTCCTGCTGACCGTCAGCCTCCGAGGGGCGGCTGCCCTTCAGCGTGGCCAGTCTCTCAGAAAGACCCCTCATCCGGGGGAAGAGCAGGAAGTCGTACACCAGCGCCCCGATGGCGCCCCCTATCATGGGGCCGACCCAGTACACCTGCAGAGACAGAGACGCGGGCAGTGACCCAGGAAGCTGTACCCGACACACCGCGGGAAGATGTTGTCCTCTGTTTCCAAAGGTACAGGAATCGTGAATATTAAATGTCCAGATCACTCCAGGAGAGCACATTGGTTACAGTGAACATCTTCTAAGCAGTTGTACTTTGGGACATTATGCTCACAAATGAGAGGGGGCCATTTGGTAATTAGTGGTTACTCGATCAGAGGATCTCAAGCAGCCGTTTCTTGAAAGACTCCAGGGTATCGTCTTCAATCACATGGCTGCACAGGTTGTTCCACACTCCCACTACCCTTTGTGTAATGGACACCCCCCCCGGTTTTAAATAGACTTCCACATTGTTTCCAGTTACGTCATTCTTTACACAAAGGGTGGTGGGAGTGTGGAACAAGCTGCCCAGCCATGTTGTTGAAGCTGATACCAGGCAGGGACTCTTTCAGGAAACAGGAGCTTATTGATCCGAGGATCTCGCCTGCCGAGCAGGCCAGGATGGCTTCCTCGCGGTTGTGACCTGTCTTGTGCTGCGGGCCGCCGGTCGCTTACCCAGTGGTTGACGAAGTTCCGGACCAGCACAGCCGGAGCGAAGGAGCGCGCCGGGTTCATTCCAGCCCCGGTGTAGTACATCTGCAACACACAGGAGGAGTTTCAGCGGGCCGCGCCCCCTGGCACTGCCCGCGGGCCCAGAGGCAGTCACCCCGAGACTTGTCGAACCCGTGCCCTATGCCACCCCATTGCATTGCCCAACCAGCGCCTTAATTATCAGGTACATCCCACTAATTTTTAATTACTTAAAATAATCAAGGAGCAGGCGGCAGGAAAGTTCTGCAGTGGACTGGACTGGATCACGAGGTGAGGTCAGCCTTACCTTAAGGACACATATTAGACCCGGTCAATAACCTAGAGCCCAGACCTCACGCTTACACCAGGTCTTCCTAATGGGCTCTGGGCAACTTACTGTAATTAAATCAACTACTGACTTGACAAGACTTGTTTTTTACAAAGACAATAAAAAAAACACTTGTCCTGTTCAGCTCTTGAAATCGCTTACATTTCAAGTTAGGTTATAGAGCGAGAACATTGTTAACTTGACCACATTTTTTAGCAAAATTATTGATTCTTATTAAACTCTCCTTTGCATCACATACATGGTAAAATGTCAGGTACTGTATAGATAGTAGACACACTGACACCCTGTAGACAAACTGACACCCCCCAGGACCAGGACTGGAAACACAGACCCCCCAGGACCAGGACTGGACACCCTGCAGACACACTGACCCCCCAGGACCAGGACTGGACACCCTGCAGACACACTGACCCCCCAGGACCAGGACTGGACACCCTGCAGACACACTGACCCCC